AATGCTCCGTCGTCGTCTTCTTCTTCTTTTTTTTTTTTTTTTTGAGACGGAGCCTTGCTCTGTCGCTTAGGCTGGAGTACAGTGGCGGGATCTCGGCTCACTGCAACCTCTGCTTCCTGGTCTCAAACAATCCTCATGCCTCAGCCTCCAGAGTAACTGGGATTACAGGCACATGCCACCACACCTGGCTAATTTTTGTACTTTTATTAGAGACAGGGTTTCATCATGTTGATCAGGCTGGTCTCAAACTCCTGACCTCAAGTGATCTGCCTGCCTTGACCTCTCAGACTGCCGAGATTATAGATGTGAGCCAATATGCCTGCAACCTAAAGCTTGATCTTCACCTTCCTACCCTTCTTTCATGTTCTTCCCTAATGCTTAATTTCTATATGAGGCTCTGATAAAAAGTAAAAACGTCTAATGTTTTAACATCACAGTTTACAGTGTTTATATGCTTAATTTTATTTACCCTCATCTCAGCATGTGAAAATCTACAACTCTACCTCCAGGAAATATTGATGTTATTTTAGTTTTATTTTTAAATTATTTTGTAGAGACGGGCTCTCACTATGTTGCCCTGGCTGGTCTTGAGCTCCTGAGCTCAAGGGATCCCCCTGCCTCAGCTTCCCAAAGTGCTGGGATTACAGGCATGAGCCACTGTGCTTGGCCAAATCTTGCTGTTCTTAGTAGTCACTCTTTTTTTTTGAGACAGGGTTTCACTCTGCCACCCAGACTGGAATACAGCGGTGCCCTTCATGGCTCAATGCAGCTTCAACCTCCTGAGCTCAAGTGATCCCCGCCGCCCGCCTCAGCCTCCTAAGTAGCTGGGAGCATAGGCTCACACTACCACACTCAACAGTTATTTTTTTTTGAGAGACGGGGTCTCACTATATGGCTCAGGCTGAATAGTCACTTCTGATGCCTCTGCAGATTATATCTCATTCTGTTCCTTTCTCTGGATTCCCACTGCACTTGCCCAGGCTTGTATCATGTAACCTATAACAATATCATACCTTCACATTCACATGACTGCCTCTCCCCTGCTACACCACAAGCTCTATGTTGTGTAGGTTTTTCTATTCCAGCACTCAGCATCTGTCCTGGCCATAATGTGTGCTTAATAAGCCAATGAAAGATTGAAGATTTTTCCCAACTTCCTGATCTTAAATTCCGAAGTCATTGTGAACCCCCCTCTAAATCTTACTAGTCACCAGGTCTTACAGATTTCTTATGCCATGTGTTTCTTGATGCTGTTCCTGCTCTTACACTTTGTACAACTGCAACGTCCCCATCTTGGCCTTCCTGCTCTTAGTCTTTCTCTTGTCAAATCAGTCCTATGTTTCTTCTGCAAGAATAACCTAAAGGCGATATTTGTATGAAGGCTAAATTTAAATTCCTTATTCTGATATTTAGGACCCTGCCATATCTCCCGTAACTTCTCCATCAAAAACCTCAGTTTTCTGTCACCATTTTTTCTTATTGTCACCCAGATACCAGAGAGACATGTCTTTTCCACCTTCTTCTTTTTCTTTCTCCGTTTGTTTATATTCTACTTTTCCTTTAAGGCCTAACTCAAATTTCACTTTCCTCAGGAAGCTTTTGATTCTTTTGATCTCTGACTGATCTTTGTCTTCTTTTTATTGAGACAGAGGCTTGCTTTGTCACCCAGGCTAAAGTGCAGTGGCACGATCTGGGCTCATTGCAACCTCTGCCTCTAGGGTTCAAGTGATTCTCATACCTCAGCCACCCGAGTAGCTAGGACTGCAGGTGTGTGCTACCATAACTGGCCAATTTTTGTGTTTTTAGTAGAGACAGAGTTTCGACATGTTGGCCAGGCTGGTCTTGAACTCCTGACCTCAGGTGATTCACCCGCCTTGGCCTCCCAAAGTGCTCCCAGCCATGCCTAGCCTGACTTATTACTTTTCATTATTATTTTTTATCCTTTTTTTTTGTTTATTTTTGTCTTTTTTATACTTTTCATTATTATACAATTTACCATTGTAGCATACTTGGGCATTTAGTCATCTGTGGCAGGGACTGGCAATTTATGGCCTATGAGCCAAATCTGGCCTGCTGCCTGGGGCTAAGAATGGTTTCACATTAATATTAAAAATTTTTTTAAAAAGAATATTTTGTAAAAAAAATAAATAGAAAAAAATACAAAAAAAGAGAATATTTTGTAACACATAAAAATTATGTGAAATTTAAACTTTAGTGTCCACAAATAAAGTTTTACTAGAACATAGCCACAGCTATTTGTTTACATATTGTCTATGTTCTCTTTCAAGCTATAATTGGGAGACTTAAGTAGTCTTGACAGAGAACATATGCCCTGCAAAGCCTAAAGTATTTATCATCTGGTTGATACAGAAAAAGCCTGCTGATCCTGATCTCAGATCTTGAATCGTCTTTATAATCTTTTCATAGCTGTTTAAGAACTTTGGAAAGGTCTGCTTCACTCAAGATAATCTTTTGACGCTAATTAGTGGTTCATTAGAACAGTGGGGGAAGCTGGAGGAGTAGGCTTTATAGAGCGAGTAGGAGCTATCCTAGTTAGAAACTTAGTAACTTAGGCAACTGGATTCCCATTGGAAAGTGAGAATCAGAGGATCTCAGGTGGATGAGGGGAAAGAGGTGATCTTTTTTCCATCTCCTCTTTTTCTGACCCGGCAGAGGAAATGTAAAAGCAAATGTGGTCTAGCTAGAGAGAGGACTATTTGAGGTCTTACCTGAATCTGGTTGTGGAGAAGAGATCAATGGTGGCTGACTGAGAGAAGCTCAACTTTTTTTTTTTTAGACAGAGTCTCACTCCGTAACCAGGCGCCAGGCTGGAGTGCAGTGGTGCAACCTCCGCTCACTGCAACCTCTGCCTCTTGGGTTTAAGCAATTCTCCTGCCTCAGCCTCCTGAGTAGTTGGGACTACAGGCACGTGCCACTATGCCCAGCTAATTTTTTTGTATTTTTTTTTTAGTAGAGACGGAGTTTCACCATGTTGGCCAGGATGATCTCAGTCTCTTGATCCGCCCGCCTCGGCCTCCCAAAGTGCTGGGATTACAGGCGTGAGCCACCGCGCCTGGCCAAAGCTCAACTATTAATGACACAGTTATAACAGGCCATGACAGAAACCATCAAAAGAGTGTAACTGCTAAAGCTGAAAGAGGCCTTGGCCGACTGAAGCTCTAAGTAGGCTAAGAGGTTTTACAATGCGTAGGAGTATTGTGGGCATGATAATTTAAAGGGTTTCTTTTTCTTTTTTAGATGGAGTTTTGCTCTTATTGCCCAGGCTGGAGTGCAATGTCACAATCTCAGCTCACTGCAACCTCTGCCTCCTGAGTTCAAGCACTTCTCCTGCCTCAGCCTCCCAAGTAGCTGAGATTACAGGTGTGCACTACCATGCCTAGCTAATTTTGTATTTTTAGTAGAGAAGGGTTTCACCATGTTGGTCAGGCTAGTCTCAGACTCCTGACCTTAGATGATCCACCCACCTCAGCCTCCCAAAGTGTGGGATTACAGATGTGAGCCACCATACCTGGCAGGATTTCTTTCTTTTTTTTGAGACAGAGTCTCACTCTGTCGCCAGGCGCCAGGCTGGAGTGCAGTGGCACAATCTCGGCTCACTGCAACCTCCGCCTCCTGGGTTCAAGCAATTCTTCCACCTCAGCCTCCCAAGTAGCTGGGACTACAGGCACACACCACCATGCCCAGCTAATTTTTGTATTTTTAGTAGAGACGGGGTTTCACCATGTTGGCCAGGATGGTCTCGATCTCTTGACTTCGTGATCCGCCCGCCTCAGCCTCCCAAAGTGCTGGGATTACAGGCTTGAGCCACCGCGCCCGGCCAGGATTTCTTTAAAGACAAAAAGAAAGCTAGATATTTAGATAAACAAGAATAGCAACTGAAGTTATCAGAAAGTTCATGACTTTTACCAGGTGTTCTATTTCTCCTCGTCGTTTCCTAATCGTATTTTTCCCTTAAAATTATACAGCATAGTAATTATTTAGTAATAAATTATATAGGTTGGATTGTGGGCCGCGTCTTTCATAGCTGCCCCTCACACCCTGACAGAATGCACTTGGCTAGTTTGGGTACTCATATATGGACCACCAGATGCTGAGTTGCTACCTGAAGTGTGGGAAGAAAGAAGCTAGCTCTAGGAGACAGGACTTGCATATTTTAATAGAAACAACAGGTGCAAGGTCATAAGAAGTGTCTTTTTAAAAACAGCTCCCCAGCCTTGGCACAGTGGAGAGCACATTGTCAGAGTGAGATTGAATGAATAAGCAGTTGTAAATTAACTTTTGCGGGGTCATTTACCTATTCAAGTGGACACTGGAGACCATCATTTTATTGGAGTTTTTTTGCTTTTTGTATTGCGTGGGAGGTAGGATTTAATGAATCCTAAAATGTCTTCCAACTTCTAAGATCTATGATCTTGCACATCAAACAAGCCCTGCACAATTTCCCTGTTCTTTGCCAAAGAACCCTGTCGATTTTCTCCAGCCTCCCTCCCTTCCTCCCTCCCTCTCTTTCTCTCTCTCTCGCCCCCTCCCTCCTCCCCCAGCCTTCCTCACTCTCTTGTGCTGTTCCCTTGTCCAGGGTGACATCCTACTACTAAATCTTAATCTGCAACATCTCTTAGCTTTCTCTCTTTCATTCGCTGTTTCCTGCTTTCCGTGCACCCTCTTGATTTCCTTCCAGCTCTTCTTTTTCTGAGACTCACACACTCCTTCCTTATCTTCCCTCCTTGCCTCCTTCGTGTACCTCTCCTTCCTCCCTGTCCTTCTTTGCTCCCCCTACTTCGTTTTCTGTCCCCGCATCCCCCGACGGTCTCCCCCTCCTTCCCGCTCTCTGTCTTACCCTAGTTTGGAAATGCAGCAGACCTCTAAACCTGCCACCATTGGATGCAAGAGGTTGTCACTCTACGGCAGGAGAAGCTACTATTGGTCGGGCTGGAGGCGGGTACCGAGCTGAGTATAAAAGGTGGGGCCGGAGGCGGTGCGCGGAGGGGCTCTGACAGGACGGGTCGAAAGGGGTCGTCCGGTAGGAACTGGGCGTCGAGAATCCCGGGTGCCAGCGCCAGAGCAGCGGCTCTCCGTACTAATTCCTCTCCTGGTCAGCCGTAGCCCCAGCCGCAGAGCCCGGCAACTCTCAGCCATCGCCCGCGCAGCCCCGAGGGCCCCTCGCCTCACCTGTGCGTGTCGCGCCCCGCGCGCGCTGTCCGGCTGTGGAGATGAGCGAGGTGAGCGGCGCGGCCCCCAGCGCTCTCGGCAGGGCTGCGGCGGGGAGGGGGCTGCAGCTCGGGATCCCAGGGAGGCGAGGGAAAGCTAGGCAGCCCGGAGAACCCTCCAGGGGCGCCCCACTGCCCTCCTGGGAAAGCTCCCACCTCGGGGCGCTGGGAAACGATTGGAAGGCGGGGTGCGGGGAGCTTTCAGTCTCCCCATTGTGGACGGGGCTTTTGGGGGTAACTGGAATCGGCTGTAGAGTCGGGAGGGGGGGGATGCTGAGCTCTCAGGTGGTAGGCCATCCCCTCGGGATACTGCCCTCTGCATCTGTCTTACTGCCCGAGGTTATTCTGGCTCCCCATACCCCCCCTCACTTCGCTTCTATCTCCTCTCTCCTAGGGATGGAAGGCTCTGGCATTCCTTATGCAGCCTCTAACAGGAACTCCATCCCTGGCCCCCGGGGAGGGCCACTATGCCCTTTTAGAAAGGTGGCATCCTGCCCTGCACTCATTGAGCCAGGAACGTTGGAGGGACCTTTTCTGGTATTCAGAAGCCCCTGCCAGCACCTGGGGAGATGTCCCCTTCAAGAATAGACTTCCCTCTGCAGTGCTTGTTACAAACTAGGTCTTTCAGCAGGCTCTGTGGTGTTCATCGTGGCCAGACCCATTCCATTAACTGATTTACTGTTTTCAATGAACACTGTTCACGGGGTAGGGGAGTGAGGGCGGGGGCGGGGGGGGGGTTGTGATCAAAGCAGAGACTTCGGAAAGACGCCTCCCATTGTCTTTTTGTAGGCACAGTCTCATTTCCAAAAACAAGGATCGGCCTTCCCAAGTGAAGTCAGTCTGGATAGTGGCATCACAAGCTTGCCCTCTGCAACCTCTTTCCCGGTACCTACATAGTTGTGTTAAATCCAGCTCCTCCGCTGTACGTCAGATATATATGTAGCTCTGCTCCTTACCTGTGATATAGGCAAAGTACAACACCTTTGTTTCATTTTTTATCTACAAAATGAGGTTGATATTGGTTGTTGTAACAATTAAATGAGATAATAAATGCCAAATACCTTGAACAGGACCTGGCACTTCATATTAGCTATTATCTTTCTGTTTCTGATTTTTTTCCCCATTAGAGTATTACAGAAATTTAACAAGAATTCCCCAAGACATTCGATTACTGAAGGAATAGGACCCTGGCGCCTGGGTTCCAGTTCAGATACTAAAAATGAAGATCTCTACTGACTCCTAACAAAAGTTGTCACCCAGGGAGCTAATTATTGCTGACTGCTGTGTTGTCTTGGTTGCCATGTTCACTAATTTTATCCTGGAAAATTCAGCTAGTTTGGGGGCTGCAGATGAACCACAGTGGTTTCCAGTCCCTCAGCTGGTTGTGATTCTGAGGATGGCAATCTTTCAGAAAGAAAAGAAAAAAAATGCATCAACCTCCTCTTTCAGCTCTAATATGGGAAGAGAGGTTTTCTTTGCCCTCTTTTCACTGAGGTCTAGGGTTCATACCACTCCTACCCCGAGCATTTCTAAATCTGAAAGTTGTAATCCAAGCCATCCCCTGGGAGTTTGTGATCTGAAGGCTATGCCAACATGAGGATTTGTGGTTAGCCTGTGCTTTTTGAGAGAAGTGCACAGCCCCTTTGTAGGACACACTATAGGGCTGGCATTTAGGGTGGTATTTGGTGGAATGATAAACCTGTTTTGTGGCAAATAAAACAATTTGGTGTTTGAGCGGAAAGTCAAGTCTCAGGCGCCCTCCTGATTGAGCAGCTGAATTTGGTTAGCCTTCAGGGCTAGGGGCTCAGTAGAATGAAGAGAGAAGGGTCCACAGATGAAGACTGTTAGTGTATACAAGGCTGCCCAGCCTCCTAGGCTCTCAGAGAGAACTGGTTTTAACTAGCAATTTACATGTAGAAGCTGTCTCCTAATACGGAGCTGAGCCTGGTCTCAGGGATGAGTACTTATAAAAATCCAGAAGCAGCTGTCTCTGAATCAGGTCACAAAGGGGTCTCTGCTTCTCTAGGGGCGAGACCCAGCCTATTTTCTTCTTCTTGTAAAAGTTATGGTAGAAGGTGGAAGTGTTGCCCAGAGCTCTAGGGAGACTCCAAACTGCTTCATTTCTCTCAGCTCAGCCCCATGGGGCTCCTCTTTCAGGCTGAAGAGCCCAGCTCAGGAAAGCCCCGTGTACCTTGAAGCTTACGTAAGTTTCACCTCCCCCAACTGCTTATTTTCTTGCTTCAGAGAAACTGCATGAAATGAGACGATTTGGGATGTCTTTAAGAGACTCCCATTTCAACTGAAGAACAAAACCAGGGAAGAGTCTCCAGACCTAGAACAACCAACAGGGCAGGGGTTCTGGTGGGGCTGCTGGGGAGGATCTTTGGCTCTGCCTTGCCTTTGTGGCTCTTTGCTGTCACTGATTACTGCAGTAGAGCATTTCCCCATGAGTGTGTGCACGCGCATTCGTGCACGAAGGAGCTGCAGGGACTCATCTCCAATTTGTCTGCATTCACAGCTGCAGGCAGGATTTGATTGCTGTGGATCACAGGCTATCTCCTATGGTTTAATAACTTTTTCCTAGTTTCAGTAATGCATGGGAATGGGAGATGTGTTCAGTCTCTGAGGGCTCTTTCCTATAATCCTTTTTCATCCAGTGTAGCTGGCTGCTTAAAGCAGAATTGCTGGTTCTTTTGTAATCCTGTTGCATTTCTCATCTGTGAGGAGCCTCACTGGGGAAATTCCTTGGTCTAGCAGTCATTCTGCTGAAATGGGAGTCATGGACCACTGGTGACAATCATGGTGTCTGTCCTGCGTTTTGGCTGGCAGAGGCTGGAGCAAGGGACAGATCAATTAGAGATGTCATTTAGGGGAGAGCTTAGACCTGGTGCTCCTTCATTATCCTGCTTGCTGTCTTCTTACCTAATGAGAATGGGATATCACACTTTAAAGATTCACACTCTCTCTTCTGTGCACATCTGTCTGCATCTGCCACCTTCCCAACAAGGGAAGTTCAGTTAGAGTGATACTGTTCTGTTATGTGTCCTGAACCAGTTGTTAGGGAACCTGGTGTGGACTTGGAGGAGATCCAAGTTTCTCTCTCTCATTGGTATGTTACTTTTATTTTGGTTATATTGGATATACAAAATAGGAAGGCTGGTCACTTACTGATATTGAAATGCCTTCTACCTCTGGAAACATCTGACTTGGAGTGAGGAAAACCAGAACTTGCTCATCCCTTTTTTAGTTTCCCATTTATGTTACTGGTTTTAGCTGTTTAGGCAGGAGCCTCTGGCGGGTAGAAGCGGCTGACTTTGTCATCCTGTGACCTGGAAATATGGATGATTCTTTCTTTCAACTACAGCTGTAATTTGTTAGCTCTTAGAATATCGTCTTTATAGGGTTAGGCAGCCATAAGTAATATGGCTGAAGTCCAAATACACAAACCTGATGCATCTTTCATGTCTGCCCATGAAGGGTCTTAACTGATGGAAGTGGTGGAGATAGGGTTGCAGGCAGAGAGGATGAAGAAAGATGAATAATTATCTCTTCCAGGTGGTGGTTCTGTGAATGCCTCCTTCTATTTTCTTTCTACTTTTCTCTATTTCTAAATTGTCTTTCATGAGTCTATTTTATCGTAGAGAAAAATAAACTTAGTTCTGCAAGAAATTCCTCAAAATAGAAAGATATCTTTCACCAAGAAAACCTCAAATAAAATATCAAAACATTTTAGCGATGCAATTTTAGATTTGTTAAGGAGCCCTAAAGATCGTCTGGTCCAATCTTATTTTGCAGGTGAGGAAACTGGGGCCCAAAACTTATCTAAGTTTACACAGTACTAGAACCAAGACTAGGGCACAGTACTTCTGACTTCTCATTCTAAAAGAACATTCCACAGGACTCCTTTAACATTTTACTTTGGTAAATACAGAATTATTTGATTAGCGTGCAACCTTTAATGAGTATATTTCAAGTACTTATTTTTCTTTTTTTTGAGACAGGTTCTCTGTCACCCAGGCTGTAGTACAGTGGCACAATCATGGCTCACTGCGGCCTCGAGCTCCTGGACTTAAGCAATCTTCCCACCTCAGCATCCCAAGTAGCTGAGACCACAGGTGCACACCACCATGCCTGGCTAATATTTTTTTTTTTTTTTTTTTTTTTGAGACCGTGTTTTGCTCTTGTTACCCAGGCTGGAGTGCAATGGCCTGATCTTGGCTCACCGCAACCTCCGCCTCCTGGGTTCAGGCAATTCTCCTGCCTCAGCCTCTTGAGTAGCTGGGATTACAGGCATGCTCCACCATGCCCAGCTAAGTTTTTGTATTTTTAGTAGAGACGGGGTTTCACCATGTTGACCAGGATGGTCTCGATCTCTTGACCTCGTGATTCACCCGCCTCGGCCTCCCAAAGTGCTGGGATTACAGGTTTGAGCCACAGCACCCGGCCGGCTGGCTAATATTTTTAAATATTTTTTTGTAGATGCAGGTTTCACCACTTTGCCCATGCTGGTCTTGAACTTCTGAGCTCAAGCAATTCACCATCTCAGGCTCCCAAAGTGCTGAGATTACAGGCATGAGCCACCACGCTTGGCCTCAAGTGTTTTCCTTTTTTTTTTTTTTGAGATGGAGTCTCACTCCATCGCCCAGGCTGGAGTGCAGTGGTGTCATTTCAGCTCACTGCAGTCTCTGCCTCCTGGCTTGAAGCGATTCTCCTGCCTCAGCCTCCAGAGTAGCTGGGATTACAGGCGTGTGCATGCCTGGGTAATTTTTGTATTTTTTTAAGTAGAGACGAGGTTCACCATGTTGTCCAGGCTGGTCTCAAACCCTAGGCCTCAAGTGATCCACCTGTTTCGGCCTCCCGAAGTGCTAGGATTACAGGCGTGAGCCACCACCCCGGCCTCAAGTACTCTATAAGAAATATAGGCTGGGCACGGTGGCTCACGCCTGTAATCCAGCACTTTGGGAGGCTGAGGTGGGAAGATCACAAGGTCAGGAGTTTGAGACCAGCCTGGC